TGGATTTAAGCCTCAAAAAATAGCACAATTAAGAATGATGATGAGCCAACAGGTTAAAATGTTAGCAGCTTCGAAGCTGAGGCAGGAGGATTCTTGTGTGTTCAAGGCCAGCCTTGGCCACACAGTGAGTTCAACGCCAGCCTGAACTACACAGTGAGACCCTGTCTCAACAGACAAGTAAAAAGGTCAGCCTCTGCTGGACAATGGAGCACATCTCTGAAATTTTCAGCACTTGGGAGACTTAAGCAGGAAGATCCAGCCTGGACTATATAGCAAGACCTTGTCTCAAAATAGAAAGAAATACACAAATACATAATAACAAGAAAAAGATTGTTAAAGAAAAAAAAAAACTAAGCAGCTAATTTCACACCACCCAGGATTCTTTTCTGGTCTGAGTAACTTTGGATCTGCTATTGTCACCAGAGAACGAAGTGAAAACTCAAAACTTAACCTCAGGCCAGGTGTGGTGGCACACATCTGTAATCCCAGCAGACAGGAGGCTGAGGGAGGAGGACTGGAGTTTGGGGCCACCCTGGGCTATGTGGCAAATTCCAGCCTAGTCTGGACTAGAGAGAAACATTGTATCTCCATCCCTAAAAAATTCAGCTCAAAAACTGGAATGAAAAAAAAAAAGACAATATTAAGGACAACTTCCGAGATACGACTCCCCGCCCACACGTGGCCAAGGTGTGCTGCTTGCTTATTACAGTTGACCTGCACTGCTCTTCAAGAAATGGAAATCACTTGAGGGCAGAAGAGGCAATGCCACGTCTAGGTTTCTCTTTGCCACTGATTCCGTCTTTCCAGGTTGAGCGTGAGTAAACAAAAAGCTGCCCAGGAAAGGCTTGGCCACCGCACATCACACCCCAAACAGCACCTGGTGCCATGAATGAGCTCCGTCAACACTGCGCTGGCTTCTCCTGCAGACGTCCAGCTAGGGCTTTGGGTCACGGTGCTCAGCATGCAGGGCCTGAACGCTGAACGGAAAGGTCCAGGGCCCAGCCGGCCAGAGCTGCTGACAGGTGCTGCCCTCCCCACATCCAGCCCTGGGCTAGAGCTTCCCCTGTGTGACTGCTTTTCCTCTCACAGTGGCTTGGGGTTTGGGGGAGCTCACCACTCCACTTTACAGATGGGAAAGGGCAGTTTAGGGAGCGGGTAGCTTACAATCTGCCTCCATGCCTTGACAGGCCTTCAGGAAGGACGACAGGGCAATCACAGAGCTACAGAGGCCCCTGGAGAGGACGAGGGACTGACAGTCTAAAATGAGACCATTTTTAAATAGTGACTAAGTATTTTCTATAGAGGCGGGCATCATTTAATGACCAAGATGTGGTCTGAGTTGTGTCATTAGCTGATTCACTCTGCTGTGTAAGCTAGAAGGGCTACCGCGGAACTAGACGATGTGATTTCTTTCTTGCCTTCCTTCCTTCCTTCTTTCTCTTTAAGGGAATGAGGATTGGGCCTTATGTATGCTTTACTGCATCAAAGACACCATTAAGAAAATGAGAAACAAGCCAGGTACTATGGGCCGCTACACTGGTGCCCTCCGACAGTCTGTGCCCCATTGGGAGCCCTCAGTATCTTTATCCCCATTTTAAAGAGGGCAGCAAGCGCAAACCAGGTCTGCCCGCCTGACATGCCTGTGCCCCTTCCTCACACACTGAGGTCTGCCTGCGGCTCTGCCCAGGTCTCTCGGGGGGGCTCAGCTGCCCTGTTCACTCACACACTTCTTTGTGGGAGCCAAGTAGGTGGAGGAGGCAGGGTCCAGCCTGCTCACACTTGGGAAGTGTTACTAACAGCCATCCGAGGTACCTCCTGGGGACGCCTCAGACCTCTGTGCAATTTTCCCTGTAAGTGGAGAGCCTGTGCTGCTGAGTATACTAAAACTGGAGCTTACAGCAAAGACTACCATGAGCCCTGTGCAAGGATGACATGCAAAGGCATGAAGCGTTCTGTATTAAAAATAAAAAGAAGAAGAAAGGCAGAAAGACCACAGGAGGAGATGCCTGAGTATTGAGCAAGGCTGGAATGCAGGGCAGAGACTGCCATGACTCAGAGGCTTTCAGGGCTGGTGTTAGGAGTTCCACATAAGGCATCCCATGACCCCCGATGCAGCTGCTGCCCTCCCCGTCCCCGGTGGGGACAACTGCATACTGGACTAGGGGGTCCCAGGCCACACACAGCAGGCACATCCCAATCACAGGGAGGGGCCCTTTCCCAGCCAGGTCTGCACAACTCCTGTCTCTCTCTCTGGACCACCCACGTAAAGAGGCCACACCTGGAGCTGGGATTTTGCAGGGTCCTCGCTAAGCCCCCTCCCACCCCAGAGCAAGAGCTGAGATGTCCCCACTAACACATCAGGTAGGCAGAGAGCAGCAGGGTGCCTAAGGTCTGTGTGGTCAAAAGCAGTTTCTTTCCAGGCCCTGTGCTGCCTGCTAAAGGCCCCTTGCCCATCCGAGCTAGGCTCAGCACCCCCTCAGCCCTGCACACCATGCCCTACGGAGTCTGACAGCACACAGCACAGCTTGTCGGAGGACCACACAGTCAGCTCGGCCTGTCCACTCCCTCACCACTGTCTGCCAGCCTCTGTCCAGAATCACCCCTGAAGCCTCCAATATTTATTGGTTGGCCTCTCAGGGGAAAGTGCACGTTACATAGAGCCAGACAGCAGCAGCCATGCTTGGATGCTTGGAGTACAAGGGTGGCAACCAGGCAGGGGCTGCACAGAGCGGAGCCCGTGTGATGCGGGGGCCAGCGCAGACTTCTCTGCTCAGTCCTAAGTGATCGGTTCTGTCAAGGGACACGCGTTAGCCAGTCCGCTGGCCATGGCACACCTCACTATGTCCACTCTCCAACTTCCCAGCCTCCTTCCCCCACCGCAGGCCAGGTTCCCTCGAACTACAGCCCTTGCTATCCTGGCATGCCCTCTTGTCATCTTCTTCCTTTCTATCTGAGTCAGGAGCTTCCTTGAGTCATGGCTGATTTCAACAGTGGCAACATGTGACGCAATTCTGGCCTGGCAGACAGGGGGTAAAGTCCTAGAAAAAGATTTATGATCTGAACAACAGCAAAGCATTAAAATGCACTGCTGGCCTCCTTAGGGTTTTGTGTGTTACGATGTGACATCCAAGCTGCTGCAGCGACTTTTGGACCATGTGGAGGGCTTATCTGAAGACACATCAACAGAATGATGGTGGGACAGAAAACTGGGAAGGACCTGGTTTGAGACAATGGGGCTCAAGTGCTTAACTGACCAACCCGGAAGTCTCCACATTCCTTGGTCTTTAAGCCCCTGAGGATTTCTGTAGCCATGGCCACTTCTTCACTGTGACTTTGGTGCTCCCAGCCCATGCTCCTCCCTGTCTCTGCCTCTAGCATCCTCAAGCCACTCCTCTATGAAGCCCTCTGTGCTCCAACCCTTGCCCTGGACCCAGACATGGCCTGCAGGCACTATGTAGGGATTCACCTCTCTCAAGTACATCTACACCTGCCCCCTGGGGCTACCGGCCTCCGATTGGTTCTCACAACTCCCATCCCCACCCACACCCCTCGATCCCCTTGCAAACTCAGGGCCTGACCTGAGCAGTATAAATAAGCACTTTTCTTTCTCTCAATTATTTTTTTCTGTTTTCCATTTAAAAAAAAAACTTGAATGTGTTGTTTTTAATAAATGAGAAAAGGAACTATTTTTAAAGCATGAATTGTGGAACCACACTGCCTGGGTTCAAACGGCAGTTCCACCCCTGACTAGCTATGTGACCAAAGCCAAGTCACTCGGCCTCTCTGCCCGTCAGCTTCCCATCTTCAGTAGATGCACACCAGGCAGGACCCGTCCTCCTGAAATGTGTAAGCATTGAGATAGCACATGCTACATGCTCAGGCAGAGGCAGCAGGAGGTCAGCACCTCAAGCTTGTACATGCCTGCTGGAGAGGACCAAGAGAGGCCACTTCCGGCTGCTCAGCTCTTCTTGGTACGTTCTGGAATCACACCTCCCCTCCTGCACGCCCATGCCTTTTTCCTGGCCCTGGCCTATCCTCGCCCTAGACCATCTCCAGGTCTGCCTATGGCCCCCCCAACCCCAGTCCTAGTACTAGGCACAGCGCCTCTCTGGGGATGCTCAGCAGGGTCCCCAGCACAGTCCCACTGGCCATGGACTTGCCCTCAGGTACTTGGAGCCGAATGTTCCACCAGCACACCAAAGGCCAGTCCCCTCTGCTATCTGTGCAAAGTGGAAAACAAAAATCTAAGGTGGTCAAGACAGCACAAGTCTAAAACAACCACCATAAAGCAGAGGAAAGTGCTCGGCAATGACCACGAGGGCGCCCAGCGTGTCAACACTCCCTGCACAAAGGACACCTTCGGGAGTGTTGCATTAACCCAAGGAAGAGGGAGACCTCCAGTGACACATCAGGTCCTAGGGGGAGAGGTCTGACAAATGCTCTTTGGGTGCCATCTCTGGTGCCGAGGAAGCATATGTCAGTGGCTGGCTGGGAACAGACACGGGCCGACAGGGACCTGGGCTGCGGAGGACGATGCAGTGCACAATTCCCCTCCACTTGACCCCAGTGCCACCATCCTCTCCTATTTGAGGATAAAGAGTTTGGTCTGTGGCCACTATTTTTGTCTCGCTTCCCTCCTTTCTCATTTAATAAACACTAAAAAAAAAAGTTTCTGAGAGGTCAAGGTAACTGGCTAAGTCCTACTGAACAATGTTTAACCAATATATTAGTTCACAGTAGGTTGAAGAAAAACCACGGGGCCTTGTTCAGTAGACTCACAACTTCTCTCCTTGGTGGTTGGGGGGGGGGGGGGACAGGGAGACTGAGCCAAAGACAATGGTGGTTAAGTATTAAGAGGACAGGGATTATTTTGCCACGATAACAATTTTGTAATCAAGCTAAAGTTCCTGTTTGGCTGACACACAGCAACCACTCAAGGAAGGAGTCACAAAGTCAGCTAAATCAGCCGCCTCTGCCTTTAACAGATATGAAACGGGTATAAAAACAAATGCCCTGTGGGAAACTGGACTTGCCCCAGATCAAGGTAACAGGCAGCACCCCATAGGATAGGTGGCCAAGGACACAGGCTCTGTCCCTGCGCCATCCAACTTGGGGCCACAGGCCATGGCACCGGAAGTGCGGCTAGTCTGATCCGAGATAAAAGCACAACACATGCTGGATTCTCATGACTTAGGCAAAAAGAATGCAAGGTATCTCATGATCAATCTTCGCAGTGATTGCAGAACGGCTGGGACATACTCGTTTAAGTAAGATATTAATTCAGCCTGTGATTTTAGTTTTTAAAGTGTAGCTACTAGAAAATTTCCCAGGACCCAGCCTCCATCCAACCATCGGCAAAGAAGGACTCAGAGCTGGACCTAACCGTGGCAGCCCCACCGCAGGGACACTGCCTCCTCTTCGCTGTTAGGAGTACCACTCATGTCAGCAGTTGTGAAGCATTTGTGTGGATGTGTTTTCACTCCTCGGAGGTATGTTCCTAGAGTGGACTCGCTGCCTCACGGCCCATTTGGAGGCTGACCAGTCTGGCAGGTCCTCCAACAGGTAAATAGGGGCACAGGGATGAGGAAAGCAGCCCAGCCAAATTGTGGAGGGCAGAGGGGTCTGGGGCACATAAGCCAGTCTGCCTTTGCTCATTCTGTGGCCTTGGGCAGGTCACCTCCTCTCACTAGGCCTGTCTCCTTATCTATCAAACGAAGATGTTAGACCAGGGGGTACAACCTGTGTGATTCTTGCCCCCACGTCACTGAGCAATATCTGGAGGCATTTGGGGTTGTTACAAGTGGCTGGGCGATGCCACTGATATCTAAGGGGCAGAGACCAAGGATGCTACAGACATCCCACAGTGCTCAACAGCCCCAGCAACACAGTCACCTGGCCTGGGTGTCAAGAGTGCCCAAGTTGAGAAACCTTCTATTAGACTAAGGTAACCCCATAGGAACATTAGGGGAACTGCCAACTGTTTCTCAAAATGACTACATGGTTTAATAAACCCCTCATGACATTCGAGGGGTCCAATTTCTCCACATTCTTGCCCACCTAACAGATGTGTAAATTGTTTCACAAAAGGTCCTTTCTACTGACCACATCCAGGATTGTCCACAGATGCCAGTGTCATAAAGACAAAACAGTCATCTTCTTACCTGGTGCCTGTAATTATACCAGCCATTGGAGCCTGCGACAATCACCACCCAGTGCTTGCCGCCATCCTCCGGGTCATCATCTACACTGGTGGGCAGAGCGCCGGAGCCCAGGACCAGGCTCAGCAGTGCAGCAACCTTCCACAGCATTCTGTACCTTGGAGTCCAACTGCAGACCGGAGAAGCACATGGCAGAGTCAAAGAAAAAACACGAACAGGGAACACTGTTGTCCTCAAAATAACCATCACAATAAATGCACCAAAAATGCAGGATTTATGCAGAGGGAAACCACAAACACCAAGAAGAATTGTGTGTCCCCTGTGCCATCCCCTCTCCTATGTGGACACAGAGGCTGTCTCTGTCCCTGTCTCCCTAACTATTCTGCAAATGGAAGTTTCGTCCAAAACGTGCTTTTAGCTCCTTTGAAAATTTTTATCACAACCCCAAAATACAGCAGATAAAATTCATCAACATAATTCACTGCACTGGCAAAACTTTACCATGTACTACGAATTGTTTATAAGAAATAAAATACTGGTAATACAAACTATGCCCAAAAAATGTGAAAAGCAAACAAAATTTAATAGTAGTTACTGAATGAAAATGTAATAGTGGTGAATGGGATTAAGGGTGATCGTCATATATGCCTCTATTTATTACAATCAATGGATATTACTTATACAGTCTGCAAACATTCAATACGTGTTCAATACTAATACCGATGGGCAATTTAAGCGTATATGTGAGCGGATAATTCAAGGCTTTGACTAACACAGAACTTGTACACATGTTTGATGCAACAGGCAGGGCAAACAGCATTGCCTTGCTTCACAGGAAAGGGGACAGATGTTCGAAAGCCAGTGACCCTTTACCCATGTAGAGCCAACCTTGGCCAGAGACCGGAGCCAGGTCCCAGGAATTCCTGGCCCAGCGCTTTCTGCTCTGTGGCTCTGCACCTCAAGACTTTAATCTTAAAAACCTATGTGCTCGATTTTATACTTTAATGCCTAAACTTCGTTTCTTTTTTGCGATAGGTCTCAAACTTCTCAGCTCGAGTGATCTTCCTGCCTCAGCCTTCCAAGCAGCTGCACTATAGGTAGCAGGCCACCACGTCCAGCCAATGCTAACACTTTAAATGCACATTTTTAAGCACAAAGGCAGAAACAGGCTGACCCTAGACACCTCGCATGGGTACAGGATCCTCCCTGCCCTGTGTGCTGACTGTGCTGCTCCAAAGGAACTCCTTCTGGAGAAAAAAACACAGGCAGGGCTGCGGCTCTGTGATAAGAGGAAGAACATGCTTTGAGACCTCTGCCTCCAGGCCTCCAGCCGGCTCGGCAAGCAGGCCGGCTCACTCGCCACCTCACAGCCAAGGTTCCCTGAACACCAGCCCTGCCAGACAACTAGGTGCTGGGAACTGATGAACAGATACAGGGACAATGCCTCTGCCTCCACGGAGCCTGCAGCCAGCGAAGGATGATCACCTCGAGCTCAGAGCCCAGCACTCTGTGCCTAGCCCCAACAGCACTGTGAAGGCTTAAAGACCTAAACGCACCTTACACCAGGGCTTCTCCAAAGTGCTCCCAGCTCCCCTGCAGATCCGGTTAGGATGAAGATTCAGATCCTGCAGACCCCGGAGTGGGCCCGAGACTGAGTTCCCTGTGACACGGATGCTGCCTCCTCAGACCGCACTTTGATGCAGAGAGCTCCGTAGTCACCCCTTGGGCTCGGGTCCACCTTGGCCCTAAGCCTGGCATCCAGCCAATGCACTGCGCCACCCTTCACTGTGGGAGGTTTCAATCTGAATTAAATTCAGCTGCCTTTTGCTTTCTTTCTTGCTTTTTTTTTTCTTTCTTCTCTTTGCAATGCTGGGGATTCAACCCAGGGTCTTCCCACTGAGCTATATCCCAAACCCTCCACTCCCCTTTTTTTTATTTTGAGACAGTGTTTGGCTAAGTGGCCCGGACTGGGCTTAAACTTGTGATCTCCTTGCTGTGGTTTCCCAGGGTATCCAGCTCCATGCTCGGTCAAATTTAAGTTTCTTAAAGCTCCACTGCAAGACCAGTGGGTGGGTGAACTAAGTAGGATGCTCTCAGATTTGGTTGGAAAAGATTTAGTATTCACCTAACAGGCGAGGTCAGTGGACAGTGAGTTCCCCTGCTGACCTGCTAATGTGCCATGGTCCCTCAGTCTGACCAGCACTCACCAGGGAGGGGAGATAGCCAATGCAGGGGGTAACTAGGCAAGTGCATGAAGAAGCAGGCAAGAGAGAGCCAAGAAGGAAAACAATGTGTGTCCCTAGAGCTCTCCGGTGGCCCACAGGGAGATGCGACAGGGACTACGAGGTGGGCAAACCAGCAACCCCCTCTGATTCTGAGCTCACCCAGCAGCCTGCTGGCTGCATTCAGGCCTCCGCAGAAGCCTTCCTTTAAGTAGGGATTGGTAAAAATCCTTCTGTAAAAACCTGGCAGTAAGTATCTGTGGCTCTGCAGGCCAGGTGTCTGTATCTCACAAGTACCCAGAGACAGCTGGTAAAGGAATGAACACGACTATCTCTCAGAACTTACAAAAACAAGTGGTATGTTTGGTCCGTGGCTACAGTTTGCTGACCCTGCCCTAACAAACAAGAATGAGGCCCCAGCCCATGTGACAGGGACAGCTTTTCTGGCTAGTAAGCATTCATCCAAAATTATGGACCTGGGCACAGTAGTGTATCTAGCGACTAAGACTAAGACAGGAGGATCCTGAGGTCAAGACCAGCCTGGGCAGCACACAGGAGGCTGCCTTAAAAATAACCAGTAAGTAGGCTCCTCAACGTGTCTATGAGTGTTTTCTGAGTTTGACTTATATGACTTAGCCCCAATGAGGCTCATTCTTCAGAAAATGCTGGTGTGTGACTTCCCCACCTCAATTTAGAGAAAAAGGAGCAGATAAATACAGTCAACCCTCTGTATCCAAGGGTTCTACATGGTGGACTAGCTTGGGGAAAACTGTATCTACTGCCGTGAACATTCTGTTTTTCTTACAATGCAACATAATAACTTCTTACATAGCATTTACATTGTACCAGGTATCATAGGTAATAAGGATGAGTTAAAAGTACATGGGAGGATTGAGTTGGTTCCATGCAAATTTTTACCTAAGAGACACAAGCATCCATTCCCAGGGATACAGAGGGACAACAACCCAAATCAATGGGCAGCCTACAGGACTGGACACCACCCGTTTAACAGCCTGAATGAGCCAACACTACAGCAGACAGCAAGGCAATCTCACCTTGAATCCTCTAACTATACTATAACGTGATAGGAGTAATCCAACACCCAAACGGTAGTTTTATGGGTCTGCATGTCACTGAACAGAAAATGCCACTCTGCAAACACATGCACTGACACTATTTCAGGGAAAGCATTGGGACCTGGGTGGAGATGAGACATGAAAGAGATGTACCAGGGGTGATCAAAAAATACCCTGAATGTGTGAATTAAACAGTGTATTGCAGTAAAGATGCGCTGTCACCAGTCTGTTTCAAAATTCTCCCTGTGATTTGGACATACTTGCCCCTCACTCTTGCTGCCTCTGACGCAGGTCTGGAAGTCCTCTTTCCTGTCTTTACAAGACCTGGTAAGAACTGCAGGCGTGCCGATGCTGAGCGCCATCGGGGGAAAGGCAGCCTTATAAAAACACGACAGTGGGCCCTCATCATCTTATTCATCAGAGCCAGCACCTCCAAATCACCACAAAAGGTTAACATTTTGAATTGACTCAGGACATCAAGGCACACACAACAGCACAATGAAAGACACACTCAGGAAAGTGTTAGGCAAGCAGACATGATCAGGCCTGAGGGACAACAGGAGAGTCACAAAGAACACAGGAGACCTCAACGTTTAACACATTATCATCACATATTAGGTCTCACACCCAGAGACACAGGCCTTCTACTTCTAGAACATTCACACAGCATTTCTGGTTGCCATAGTGAGGGCCCAATGACACAGGAAAAGAAACTCCTTCAAAGACCCTGCCGCCCTGGCCTGGGACCTGGTTTAAATTAAGCACTTCTTTTGCAATGCCTTTCCTAAGTTTCTGACCTGACTAATGCCCCCGAGAGAACACTGATCATCTGAAAAGGATTAGAAGACATTTGTCAATTTCAAAGTGAGTGTTAAGAAAAATGCCAATAAGCATCATAATTTCCCTAGTTCCCTGAACCCCAGGGGTAACTCTTGTGTGCATGATTTCCAGACTCTAAGTCGGGGCAGCTGCCTTTGTGGCACGGATTGCCTTTCCCACTTGGATCTGTGATCTCTCTGTATCTACTTTATAATAAATTCTTTGCAATAAAATCTGTACTTCTGCCCGGCCACGTATGGGCCTTGACTAAATGCTTTCATGAAAGGCACAAGAGACCCAAGAGGCCAGCGAAGGTCAGTTCCTCCAAACGTCAGGACTCAGCTCTTGGACAACAAAAAGACTTCGAGAGCTGCTTCAGCAATCCTGGCACAGTGGCACACTCCTGTAATCCCAGCACTCGGAGGCTGAATCAGGAGGGTCGTTGCCAGTTCAAGTCTCTGTTTTGGGGACCCTGTCTCAAAAAGACCAAAAAAAAAAGAGAGAGAGAGAGAAAGAAAGAAAGAAAGAAAGAAAGAAAGAAAGAAAGAAAGAAAGAAAGAAAGAAAGAGAAGGAAACAGAGAGGCAAGAATGATGGCATGGTGTGTCCAAGAGGAGCTGAGTGTGGTGGTGCACGCTTGTAATCCCAGCACTCAGAAGGCTGACGCAGAAGGATCACTGCGGGTCCAAGGCCAACCTGGGCTACACAGCAAATTCAAGACCAGCCTGAACTATGAGACTCTGTCTCAAAAAAAAAAAGTGTGTTGAAGAGTATTTTGAGGATTAACAGCAATGTTACTTTCACCGTAGTGATTTTTTAAAAATTTAAACAGTGTCATTTCTGACTGTACCTTGTAAGCAGCAACCAGTGTTCAAAGCAGCCAACCTCAGACAGCAACTTCCTGAAGAACACGTGACTCCCAACAAAGTCAAAGAAAGCATCTAAGGCACAAATAATCCTGTAACATCCTATTATTCTTGTTTTATTAAAATGCAAATTTGATGAAAAAAGTACAAGATCCTTGCTGCATCAGCTCCTGAGGCTGTTTTTATTTGTGCCCTCTAGGGCCCAATGACACAGGTGTCATTATCTGCTGCCCCTGAAACTCACCCTGTTATCTACCCACACACACACCTACGCCCCTAAGTCCTCACAGGCGCTGGATGACAAAGCAAAGCAGGGCCAGGCGGTGCTGAAAGCTATGGGGGGACCGAGGCAGGAGAGGGAGGGAGGGAGGCCACAGTGGACAGCCTGATTTTTAAAAGGGGAACATGGTGAGGGCCTGTCCCATTTGTAAGAACAAAGCACAGAAGCCACGTAAATGATACCCACAGGGGACTGTCCAGCTAAATCAGCTATGGCTCTGTGGTTTCTCCTTTTAGTGGGATATTGTGAACTCAAACTTTTTTTAAGTTAAGACAAGCACTTGCCTAAGAAAGGCCCTCATTCAATATCTAACACCAAAAAAAAAAAAAAAAAATAGTTAGGCAGGTGCTAAAAGTACCAAGAATGGAAAGCTGTCCTTGGGGTGTGCTGGCACGCAAAGAGAAGGTGACACACGGGGAGGACAGAAGAGAAAGGCTCCACTAAGTGACACACTAAGTGACATACCAGTGTGTTGCACAAGTTTGTGCATGTATGGACGCGTTGCCTGGTAACAGGAAAGCTTTATTTACACCATCTTCACATCCCTGGGTGCAAATATCTTTCACAGACACGGGAGAACACTGAGGCTCAGAAAGGTAGAGAAAACTCACTGGTGAGTGGCACTGCTGGGCCCGAGGTAGGACAGAAGAAATAAAGACAGGTATAAAGGAGACAAGGAAAGTCATAATTTTAGCTGAGCACGGTGGTGCACGCTGATAACGTCAGCACTCAGGAGGCTGAGGCAGGAGGATTGTTTCAAGTTCGAGACCAGCCCGGGCTACATAGTGAATTCAAAGCCATCCTGAACTGCACAGCGAGACCTTGTCTCAAACACACACACACAAACAAAAATTTTAAAGACTGCAACTTGCCCATATCTGTATTCACATCTTTCCTCCTAAGGTTTATTTCTGCTTCCCTGGCTTCTCTGTATTTTCTTTCTAGGCCCCTGTGATACTCCAAATCTTTTAAAGATGTTCTAAATCCATAGTTAGGTTAGTAGATAAGGCAAAGGGCAGAGACCTGACCCTCAGATGGAGAAACAGACTCAATGGTTTCAAAGAATGTTTTTCCAGGAAAACAGATCACTCATCCTTGAAAACACAACAGACTTTGAGTTGGCCCTTCACCTTTAAACTGACAGATTCACAGATTTCCAAACCCCCCAATCACGTAAGCATCCCCAGCTCCTGACTCCAGCTAGCCTCCTCTTTGGGGGAATTCCTCCAGGACTCCATTTGATGACAGGACCAACACACAGACCTGCCTGTAAAGACCACTTGTCCCACTGTACCACCTGTTTGTCACAATAAGAGTTGTTGATACCAAAGTCTGGAGCTCCCATAAGCACATACACTGCAAGTCCTCAGACTGGGCCAGGGAATGGCCAGGTCACACTGCTTCCCCGACAGTAGGACACCCTGGCCATCTTCCCACCTGACTATTTCAAGGCACTAGAGGGCTCTCTAAATCACAAGCTCTGGTCCTGTCTCACTGCACCGCCCTCTTCCTCACAACACAGACTCTGCACACCTGAGCAGGTAGATAGAGCTCTCAGGCAGCAAAGGGG